GGGAAACCACCGACGGCTGGCTGCGAAATTGCCTCTGGTTCAGATTGGTTTAGAACCGTCCCTCTGCCCAAAACGCCACAGACGTCTGCAAAAGATTGCAGTTCTTGAAACAAAGTTACCTCTGATCCGAGCAGAAGCGTTCGCTTACTTAATGGCAGATAAAATGATGACCTTTCACACGGTCTGCATTCGTTCCGCCAGTAACAGCGGCAGGCCGGCAAATAAAATCCTGACGTTCCACAGGGCACACTCGCTTGGCGGACAAAAGCCACCGGGGGCTCTCTTTGCGTGTTCCTTCACCTGGTCAAACCGCTTTGAGGGGGGACCTTTCGAGTAGTTTTCGGCGTCTGAACAGACTCTTCTAGCGACGGGTGGGCAGGCCTTCCACAGGCGCGCGCAGCTCTACTGGAGCAAAAGAGGCTTGGCAAAGGACGAGGAAGAGAGGGAAGCGACGCTCCAGCCGGGTCCGGCGCTACCGCCTGAACTCTGTCTTGAACCGCTGTGCTCAGGGGAGAGCGCGAACGCAGTCCCCCACTACCAGAAATTATGCCGTCGAGATTCCCACATTTGGGGAATTCGCAGGGGTCAGCGTGGCCGGAGCGCAATGGCCAAGCCTCGCCCTGGGTGAACCACCTTCTTGATCATGGTATCTCCCCTGCCAGGTAAGTATGAGTTGCCGGGCGGCGCAAATGGCGGCCGCCGTTTTCTATCGGTCGTACTCCAGGGCGGTGATGCCCAGCCACCGAGCATGGGGAATGGGCCAGCAACCCCTGTCTCCTGACGGCGCTGTACTTGCAGCAGACGTGCCTGTGCTTGCAAACCACCAGCTAGTAACTGTGGCAACGCATGAAGGGTTTGAGCTTCCTCCAGATGCTTGCTTCGTGTTTGGTCATCAGTTGGGGCTGCCAACACATGGATTCCACTGGACGCCCTCGATCTGGGGATAACAGACCCTCTATGGGGGGAGGGGATCCTCCTGTTCTTTCTTTCTTTTCCTCCATCTGTTTTCTTTCTCTACAGATGCCGCTTTTCTCTGCTTAGTTTCTGATTTGGTCTATTTGGACATGTCGACCTCCGGCTTTGCTGCGGTTCGGACCGCCTTTGCCTAGAGCTCCGTGCTTTGCACTCTCGCCTTGTATATTTCGTGTCCTGTTTTCTTACGTCAGCCTATCAGCACAGTGCTCAAACGACATAGCTTGAAGAACACGACGGGATCTACAAACGTTCCGCAAAAGAACTTCACTGACGAAAGCGGAAGCGCTAACGGAACAACCTCCCGCTGCAGGCACCTTACATTCCCGAGACGGGAAACCACCGACGGCTGGCTGCGAAATTGCCTCTGGTTCAGATTGGTTTAGAACCGTCCCTCTGCCCAAAACGCCACAGACGTCTGCAAAAGATTGCAGTTCTTGAAACAAAGTTACCTCTGATCCGAGCAGAAGCGTTCGCTTACTTAATGGCAGATAAAATGATGACCTTTCACACGGTCTGCATTCGTTCCGCCAGTAACAGCGGCAGGCCGGCAAATAAAATCCTGACGTTCCACAGGGCACACTCGCTTGGCGGACAAAAGCCACCGGGGGCTCTCTTTGCGTGTTCCTTCACCTGGTCAAACCGCTTTGAGGGGGGACCTTTCGAGTAGTTTTCGGCGTCTGAACAGACTCTTCTAGCGACGGGTGGGCAGGCCTTCCACAGGCGCGCGCAGCTCTACTGGAGCAAAAGAGGCTTGGCAAAGGACGAGGAAGAGAGGGAAGCGACGCTCCAGCCGGGTCCGGCGCTACCGCCTGAACTCTGTCTTGAACCGCTGTGCTCAGGGGAGAGCGCGAACGCAGTCCCCCACTACCAGAAATTATGCCGTCGAGATTCCCACATTTGGGGAATTCGCAGGGGTCAGCGTGGCCGGAGCGCAATGGCCAAGCCTCGCCCTGGGTGAACCACCTTCTTGATCATGGTATCTCCCCTGCCAGGTAAGTATGAGTTGCCGGGCGGCGCAAATGGCGGCCGCCGTTTTCTATCGGTCGTACTCCAGGGCGGTGATGCCCAGCCACCGAGCATGGGGAATGGGCCAGCAACCCCTGTCTCCTGACGGCGCTGTACTTGCAGCAGACGTGCCTGTGCTTGCAAACCACCAGCTAGTAACTGTGGCAACGCATGAAGGGTTTGAGCTTCCTCCAGATGCTTGCTTCGTGTTTGGTCATCAGTTGGGGCTGCCAACACATGGATTCCACTGGACGCCCTCGATCTGGGGATAACAGACCCTCTATGGGGGGAGGGGATCCTCCTGTTCTTTCTTTCTTTTCCTCCATCTGTTTTCTTTCTCTACAGATGCCGCTTTTCTCTGCTTAGTTTCTGATTTGGTCTATTTGGACATGTCGACCTCCGGCTTTGCTGCGGTTCGGACCGCCTTTGCCTAGAGCTCCGTGCTTTGCACTCTCGCCTTGTATATTTCGTGTCCTGTTTTCTTACGTCAGCCTATCAGCACAGTGCTCAAACGACATAGCTTGAAGAACACGACGGGATCTACAAACGTTCCGCAAAAGAACTTCACTGACGAAAGCGGAAGCGCTAACGGAACAACCTCCCGCTGCAGGCACCTTACATTCCCGAGACGGGAAACCACCGACGGCTGGCTGCGAAATTGCCTCTGGTTCAGATTGGTTTAGAACCGTCCCTCTGCCCAAAACGCCACAGACGTCTGCAAAAGATTGCAGTTCTTGAAACAAAGTTACCTCTGATCCGAGCAGAAGCGTTCGCTTACTTAATGGCAGATAAAATGATGACCTTTCACACGGTCTGCATTCGTTCCGCCAGTAACAGCGGCAGGCCGGCAAATAAAATCCTGACGTTCCACAGGGCACACTCGCTTGGCGGACAAAAGCCACCGGGGGCTCTCTTTGCGTGTTCCTTCACCTGGTCAAACCGCTTTGAGGGGGGACCTTTCGAGTAGTTTTCGGCGTCTGAACAGACTCTTCTAGCGACGGGTGGGCAGGCCTTCCACAGGCGCGCGCAGCTCTACTGGAGCAAAAGAGGCTTGGCAAAGGACGAGGAAGAGAGGGAAGCGACGCTCCAGCCGGGTCCGGCGCTACCGCCTGAACTCTGTCTTGAACCGCTGTGCTCAGGGGAGAGCGCGAACGCAGTCCCCCACTACCAGAAATTATGCCGTCGAGATTCCCACATTTGGGGAATTCGCAGGGGTCAGCGTGGCCGGAGCGCAATGGCCAAGCCTCGCCCTGGGTGAACCACCTTCTTGATCATGGTATCTCCCCTGCCAGGTAAGTATGAGTTGCCGGGCGGCGCAAATGGCGGCCGCCGTTTTCTATCGGTCGTACTCCAGGGCGGTGATGCCCAGCCACCGAGCATGGGGAATGGGCCAGCAACCCCTGTCTCCTGACGGCGCTGTACTTGCAGCAGACGTGCCTGTGCTTGCAAACCACCAGCTAGTAACTGTGGCAACGCATGAAGGGTTTGAGCTTCCTCCAGATGCTTGCTTCGTGTTTGGTCATCAGTTGGGGCTGCCAACACATGGATTCCACTGGACGCCCTCGATCTGGGGATAACAGACCCTCTATGGGGGGAGGGGATCCTCCTGTTCTTTCTTTCTTTTCCTCCATCTGTTTTCTTTCTCTACAGATGCCGCTTTTCTCTGCTTAGTTTCTGATTTGGTCTATTTGGACATGTCGACCTCCGGCTTTGCTGCGGTTCGGACCGCCTTTGCCTAGAGCTCCGTGCTTTGCACTCTCGCCTTGTATATTTCGTGTCCTGTTTTCTTACGTCAGCCTATCAGCACAGTGCTCAAACGACATAGCTTGAAGAACACGACGGGATCTACAAACGTTCCGCAAAAGAACTTCACTGACGAAAGCGGAAGCGCTAACGGAACAACCTCCCGCTGCAGGCACCTTACATTCCCGAGACGGGAAACCACCGACGGCTGGCTGCGAAATTGCCTCTGGTTCAGATTGGTTTAGAACCGTCCCTCTGCCCAAAACGCCACAGACGTCTGCAAAAGATTGCAGTTCTTGAAACAAAGTTACCTCTGATCCGAGCAGAAGCGTTCGCTTACTTAATGGCAGATAAAATGATGACCTTTCACACGGTCTGCATTCGTTCCGCCAGTAACAGCGGCAGGCCGGCAAATAAAATCCTGACGTTCCACAGGGCACACTCGCTTGGCGGACAAAAGCCACCGGGGGCTCTCTTTGCGTGTTCCTTCACCTGGTCAAACCGCTTTGAGGGGGGACCTTTCGAGTAGTTTTCGGCGTCTGAACAGACTCTTCTAGCGACGGGTGGGCAGGCCTTCCACAGGCGCGCGCAGCTCTACTGGAGCAAAAGAGGCTTGGCAAAGGACGAGGAAGAGAGGGAAGCGACGCTCCAGCCGGGTCCGGCGCTACCGCCTGAACTCTGTCTTGAACCGCTGTGCTCAGGGGAGAGCGCGAACGCAGTCCCCCACTACCAGAAATTATGCCGTCGAGATTCCCACATTTGGGGAATTCGCAGACATCTGCCCACTGAACGTGCAATGTAAACTGTAGACTCTTGTCCAATGAAAAACCGCGATTGTCTACAGTTTGATTAGACCCTGGGCCAATCGGAGGGCTGCATTGTCTAAAGTTTCAAATCACGGCCAATCAGCGCTGAGGATTTTCTAAAGTTTCTCTCGCTCTGGACGCTCACAATTTATCGGGTCAGAGAGTTCATCTGCTGTCGAGATAAATTCATATGCTGAAGTGATTTCGTGTGGTTAGTTATGTTTATACTGTTATATTGATGCACAGTATGTTTTGGTCAAGGCACGTTTGAAATATCTCACTCTTTGTGCAGTATTCGTGAGGCTGCGCCTTCAAAAAGTACACCTGTCATAGAGATTTTGTGTGATAAGTTATTTTTATACTGTTATATTGATGCACAGTATGTTTTGGTCACATCACGTTGGAAATATTTCACTCTTTGTGCAGCATTTTGTCTGTGTGTGTGAGGCTGCGCCGTCATAAAGTACACCTGTTGTAGTGATTTATAGTGGTAGGTTATTTTTATCCTGTTCTGATAAACAGTATGTTTTGCTCACATCACGTTTGATATATTTTACTGTGTGTGCAGTATTTTGTCTGTGTGTGTGACGCTGCGCCGTCAGACGTTCACCCATTACAGAGATTTTGTGTGGTAAGCTATTTTTATATTGCTAAGATCACATCACGTTTGAAATCTCTCTCTTTGTGCAGTGTTTGGTCTGTGCTGGTGACGCTGTGCCGTCAGAAAGTTCACCTTTCCAAGATATTTCGTGTGGTAAGTTGTTTTTATACTGTGATATTATTTAAATGCATATTTGGCTGCACAAAACCTGAAAAAGTTTAGCTTTTGTATTATTTTCGACGATCGCGTCGGTTTGATAGCTCAGTATACACAGATGTTTCATTATAATATAGAAACAAACATGCTGATAAATAAATATCCCTTTATATGTAGCAATATATGTTACCATGGCGATTGTTATCATTAGTTGTAACTATGAGAAGTGAAGAACATCTTAAGATCTTAACTGGGACAAAACATATGACCAATACCTGTATTTGTTATCATAAGAATATAGTAAAATCGTTATTGCCATAGACTGAATAATATATCACTGATTCTCCAGGCCTAGGACAAAAACATATTCAGCAATTACTGCTATAAGCTTTAAAATGAAAATGTGCATACATTAAATATGAGTTGTTATGTTATTTCAAGTATTATATGTGTAAATGATATCATATTAATGAGAGTATGTATTTAACATGCTTAGAATGTATTTTACCTTACCTTATATCAGCCATATGGAGGTTGATATTAATAGCTGCTCCTTAAAAAACACAAAATACAACTGTAGGCATTTGAAAAAAATGTATAACAGAGCAATTGATATGATAATTCATGTTTTCATTGCCACTGTCAAATGCATCATCTCTGTCAGCATTGTTAACCCTTGTTAGATAATTTATTTTGATGATATTTCATTTATTTGTTAATTATCAAACATGTAAAAATGGAAAAAAAAGACTTAACACACAAAATGTTTTTTTAATACTTTATCATGAGCTCAGAGCTAAGACCATATTCCCTCTCTATATTTGTGATGTTTATAAGAATACTTCTTACAGGTGAATTAGACATGGATCCACTGTTGCCCACCCTGAGCATTGTTGACACCAGTGTGCCACAGGACAGACAACAGTGCTTTCTTAAAGCATCGAAGGACGCCAAGACCCTGGCCTCTCGCAACAGGTGCTTCGAGTGGAACACTAGCCAGGACAAAAAAACTGCTTGTGAGGAAGGTAATATCTGATTTATGCGTTTCTGTCATATGCGTACACTGCAGACTGTTATTTGCATTAATGTTATTTTATGTCTTAGCTAAAAAAAGATGCCAGCACATTACTTGTGCGCCATCTGAGGTCCAGTATCTCGGCCAGCTCATTCTAAACTTTGGCAAGTACAATGGACAAAGTTTTAAATGGCTGGTGGAGAACGACGTTGGCTACATTAAATAGTAAGTATGTTGCTATACATTTGTATAAGCTGTTTTTACACAAATTAATTATCTTTTTGAAATTTCAGTGTGCTGGATCTACACATCAAGGAGCGTCGCCATCAAGGAAGAAAAGAGGGCCCAGGTGAGTATATAAAGGATCTTCTGTTACAGTATGTGCAACTGTTTCCACAGGTTTCCTGCCACCTCGAGGTCAACGTCGACAGGGCCATCTACGGTCAGGGCCGCTTCAGATCCTTCACGTTCCTGGAGATGTGGCAGTGGTACAGCCTGCACAAGACCCTGCAGGCGGATCCACAAGCTGGTAGTGCCCAAGAAAAGAAGATGGCACAGGAGGCGTTCTGCTCTGTGCGGCAGTGGCTGACGATGAAGGAGGAGGACATCAGCGTCAAGACACTGAAGCGGTTCCGGCAGTACATTCTCAACAAAGAGGTAGGTTTTATTTATTTCTTTTAAATGTGACTTTATTAAAAAATATATATCATGCTGGCAACATTTCATGCAAACTACAACCTGTAACTCACAGAAACCCCTAGAAGACAGGCCTCTTCCTGCAGCGGCGGCCAGCTCCAGCTCGTCGGGATCTAGAGGTGATGGTGGATGGGCGGATGATGCGCTACTGGTGGAAGCCCTCAGTGCTTTCGAAGCACAAGGTGTATATCACTTTAATTGTTCATGTACCATAGCATAAATCTTTTATTAATAAATAAATCAATTACACACAATATCAAAACACTGTGCTGATGAGATTGTCTTCTTGCTGCTTTGACACTGACTTTTGCCCATCTTGTGTTTTGTTTTTTCCTCCTTTAGCAGTTGAGGACAAAGGCGGTCTGCCGAAGAAACCACTCAGCTTCCCTGAAAGACAAGGTATATCATATAATGAATGTCACTTATTAACATTTATTCATACTGTTGTAGCATGAACTACAGCTGAGGGCCCTCCTGTGAAATATTTATTTAAGGTAATGGAGCAAGGACATGTTCACAGTACTTAGGATAGTATATTATCTTCTGAAGAAAGTTTTATTTGTTTTATTATTTATGTTTTTCTATTGGCTACAGAACAAACAGTGTTAAGCTAGTTAAGCCTTTACTTTCTCACGCTGAATATGGTAACACTTCAGTATAATAGTCCTTTAGTTAATCAATTTACTAACATTAAGTGTCGCCAATCTTGTGCCGCCTTTATTAATTACAGTTCAACATTAATGCATTATTAAAATCCAAAGTTGTGCTTGTTGCACAGTGCATTATTGAACTAACGTTATTTAACTTAAATAACATCATCAACAAAGATAAATTAATACTGTAATTAATGTATTAAATTTCTTGTTCATGTTAGTAAATGCATTAACTAATATTAACTAATGAACTATTACTCTAAAGTGTTACCCTAAAGGGTGACACTTTACAACAAGTTTGTATTAGTTAATGTCAAAGCATTTACTACCATAAACAAGCAATGAACAATATACTAAATACAGTATTTGTTCGTGTTACAGTCATCAATGCCAACTCACAGTCCATCAACTAAGCATTAAATATTATTTTAATAAAGCATTAGTACATGTTGAACTATGATTAAAAATGTTGTACAAGCATTGTTCATAATTAGTACATAATAGTAAATACATTATCTAATGAAACCTTATTGTAAAGTGTAACCCAATATTATATACTGTCATCATGGTAAAGATAAATTATAAGAAATTAAGTTATTAGAACTATTATGTTTAGAAATGTGCCTGAACAAGTCCTCTCTCCATTACACATAAATTGTGAAAAATAAACTCAAATTTAACAGGGGGGCTTATAATTCCGGCTTCAACTGTGTGCATTAATAAATAAAATTCATCACACTAAGACACTGTCTTCTGATAATCACAACTGTGCTCATTTAGGAGCCGGGGAAGCAAAGAGAAGAAAACGTTCCTGTGAAGATCTTTCACAGAAGCCCCACTCAGACTCTCCACTGTCTGCTGTAAGTTTATCATTTGTACATCACAATTAGGTGGTGTATATACTCCTGAATACAGTTTTGTGAGCATAGATGGGGAGGCCGTGCAAAAAGTATGAATATGTCAATGAAAAAGGTTTTACCTATTATACTTACTTTGTTGAAGGCTCCTGTGTCGACTTCTTTATTGGAGGCTCCTGCATCAGCCTCATTAGTTCCTGGCCAGTCTTCTTCATCGGCTCCTGCATCAGCCTCATTAGTTCCTGGCCAGTCTTCGTCATCGGCTCCTGCATCAGCCTCATCAGTTCCTTGCCAGTCTTCTTCATCGGCTCCTGCATCAGCCTCGTCAGTTCCTGCCTTGGCTTCTTCTTCGGCTCCTGCATCAGCCTCGTCAGTTCCTGCCTTGGCTTCTTCTTCGGCTCCTGCATCAGCCTCGTCAGTTCCTGCCTTGGCTTCTTCTTCGGCTCCTGCATCAGCCTCGTCAGTTCCTGCCTCGGCTTCTTCATCGGCTCCTGCATCAGCCTCGTCAGTTCCTGCCTCGGCTTCTTCATCGGCTCCTGCATCAGCTTCTGTGTCAGCTTCTGACGTTCAACCTAGAAGGTCATCTGGTGGGTCAACACACAGTGACCCAGCACATTCTGAGGTAACTGTCAAAGAACTCTGTGGTTGTGAAGATAAGAAAAATTAATACTTTAATACTAAAACTTTAATTGATTTTAACAGTTTTGTCTCGGTTATTCTAATTACCAGGTGTTATTTGAGGGTTGGCACAAGATGTGGGAGTCTGGTCTTCATGGGCTGCCCAGTGCAGACATACTGTGGCTTAAGGAGGATGCTGAAAGGGGACTCTTTCAGAGGGCCATGTCTTATAAAGACAAACATGGAAACAGAAAGTGGAGGAAAGTCCTGAAGGATGACCGGATGTGGTTTCACCCTCCAGAATTTCCTGGAGTGGTGGAAGGAAAAGTCCCCTCAGCAGACTCCTTTTTTCACAGCTCCGTTTTTTTCTGGAGACCAGTCGGTGTGTGGCGTTACAGTCTTCGGTGCCCAAGGTCTGACTGCCCAGCACGCACCAATCAGAAGGCTTTTCTCTACCGTTGTGGGTATTCATCCACGGTAAGACAGATCTGCCACATGTCTGGCTGGTACTCCATGCTGACTGAGGTCCTGGCATGCAATGCCTGTAGAAAGGCTGCAAAGGAGTCGGAAGAGCATACTATTGGTCGTTTCCTGTCATGGGATCAGTGCATCCTTAATCAGCTCAGTCCAGCTCACAGAGCGGTGTTTCCTGCTGTCTTGACGCTACGGTGAGTCTCTAGCAGAATACAAATCATTGTAAAATTATTCAGAGTCTAATAAAAGTTAAGACTCACCATCATCTAATGATTGTGTTGCTCCTATGATTCTAGGCGTGGCGTGGACAAGCAGGTGATCCGCCTGATGAGGGATCGCACTGAGGGAAATACCATGGTGAAAGTTTGGAGACAGGTGCAGGAGAGCCACTGCGAGGACTATCTGCAGAGAAAGGACTTGTACACCACTCTTCTCAGCCAGTACAACAAACCTGGGAAGATCACTCGTAAGTCAGAGTTAATTGTTTTCTTTAAGGGATAGTTCACCCAAAAATGAGTAGTTTTAAACCTTTATGAGTTTCTCTCTTTTGTTAAACACAAAAGAAGATATTCTGAAGAAAGCCGAAATCCTGTAACCATTGACTTCCATTGTAAAAAAAACAAACAAATACTATGGAAGTCAATGGTTACAGGTTTCTGACATTTTTCTAAATATCTTGTTTAGTGTTTAAAAGAAACCCATAATGGTTTACAATCATTAAAAGGATCAGCAAATGATGAAAGAATTATTATTTTTAAATTCCTATCTTTTTGAGCATTTATTCAAAGATTAAGCAGCAAAGTGTCTGTTTTCTCTGCTTTTAGGGAGTTTGTGCCAGCAGTTCCAGCGACCACCAGCACGGAGAGAGCCGCCATCTGCCAGACTGATGAGAAAGGCGTTCCTTATCTCAGAGGCAGATAACATCGAGGACTACCGTACTCAGATTATGTCCACATTTGGGCAAGTCCTGAAGTACGACTCCACCAAGAAGGTAAATTTAACACAATGGAAAAAAAGTCAGTTTGTAAACGTATTGCTAAACCTTTTTACTGTTATTCTTTCAGGAAATCCTTTATCAGAGAGATTTTATCCTTAAAATATTATTGTCCACTTTTGCATCATGGGACATTTTAATCATTAATTATTAATGACAATTGATAAGTAAAGTATTATTAATTGTTTAATAATAAATAATTATCAATAAATTAATATCTAATATGGGTTACTAGTGCTTTAAAATCCTGTTTGTCACCATCACACGCACCAGATTATTAATCATACTTACCTACGTCTTTGTGTGTCGTTTTCTTCACTTCAGGTTTCCTCTTGCATGCTCTGCATCCGAAATCTAATGAGCTGCAATGCAAAAACACATTATTAATTCATTTCTGAATATTAGTGACTATTACTTTCTTGGTCTGGTGCAGAAAAAAAAATACAAAATACAAAAATGTTTAAATCTGTTTGTGTTGTATTTGTTATCAGATCTGCAAGAAACTCTCCGGCGATGGAAAAGGCACTGCAGAGTGGTGTACCAATGTGGCCAACGAGCAGGGGCAGATCCTCATATCTGTTCTCACCTGTGAGGAGTCATTGGAGAAGATGAGGCCGATGGCTGAAGGCCTCATGGAGAGGTACAGGAGAGCTGACAAGGCACCGCCCGAGCTCATGTATGTGGATCGTGGCTGCTGTCGCGTCCACGCCGTGTCCTCGGTTGAGCAGCTCTTCAGTGACTGGACGGACAGGGGCATGCTGGTACGGCTGGACATCTTTCATTGGATCCATCGATTCGATGCAGCCCTACGGACAGATCATCATCCAAAGTATGCCCTGTTCAAGTCTGCCCTCTCTGCTGCCGTCTTTGCCTACAACAAAGACGACATGGCTCTTCTGGTACAGGCGATACGTGCCGGTCACCCAACCAACTATGCCTCCCTGACTGACAGCCAGATCATCGAGCTGCGTGTCAGTAAATATGACCTCAGCCATTACGTCAGGAGGATCACAGTTGGTGCACAGGAAACATGTGCGCGCGTGCAGTGCGCCATTGATCTCCTGAAGGGAGCCGCAGGGATGGATGAGAACCAGGTGCATCTGTTTAAGGACTCTGCAGCCATCGACCACGTCTGGGAGAACCAGCAGAAGCACCTTGAATGCATCCAGGATCCACCAGGGAGGAACATGTACACCATCACCAAGTATGTGACCCGTAACGGTGTTCGTCTTGCGCGGTACAGTACGGTGAGAGGAAGCAACAGTCTGGAGGGCTTTCATTCCTTTCTGCCTGACATGATCCCGGGACCCCACTGTGCTGCCGTCCCGTTTCAAGTCTATCTGCTGGCTGGCATCGCACGCTGGAACTCTAACAGGGAGTCAGCCAGCGTCCAAGGGCGGAAAGGGAGGAAACATATGGTGTACATGTCTCCTCTGGTCCATCGCCTAAACCAAAGGTGCCAGGAGCTATTTGGGGAGGTGGAGGAGGCAAACTACAGGCCTCCGGTTCCTGCTGGTGATGAGCGCATTGGTCTGGAGTACCTGTTTTCCCAGTCCTCAGAGCCCTTCAGTGCTCCTGATCATTACGCTCAGACTAGAGAGACACTTCAGGCAGATGAGGATGAGGACGAAGATGTTCCTGCTGGGGTGGCAGAGGAAGAGGAAGAGCTGCAGGAGGAAGATGATGATGTGGGCTACTCCTCAGACCGCGAGAGGGACAGCCTGACTCCTCTGAGGAACCGTCTGTGCCTCACCGATCAGGCAGTGGCTGCTGAATTTGACCCCTGTGTGGAGGACGTGTGCGGTCCCAATCATCTGCCTGGGTACCAGCACGTAGAGGATCTGTGTAAAGTCCTTGTTGAGATCGCCCTGGAGGAAGGAAAACTTGCCTTAAATGAGTCGACCAGGCAAAAGGTCATCAGCGCCTGGAACAAGCTTGACCTCCATGACCGCAGCATCCAACAATTCGACAGCCTCTACTCTGCACGCTGGGGCAATGCTCTGTTTGGCCGCACCAGTGGAGATCCGACTGAGGCATCCCTGGTGCAGAAGCTCAAGTTCAGCAAGCGGTACTCAGCCGCACACTTGGTGGACTCCAGAAAGAACCGGCTGATGTACTGCCTGGTCAAACAGCTGTGGCTTCATCCTGGTGTTGGAGGAAAAGCTAAAGGGTCACCGCTGAAACAGCAGATCACTAAACTGTACCAGCGTGTGCAGCAGAGAGTGACGGTGGACGATGATCAGCTCAGCAAACTCGGGATTCCCATCCTGAAAATAAATTCAAAGTGCGTGAGCGAGTTCATCAGGAGGCAGGAGGCGCTGTCAGCCACAAACGTCACCGACCAGGGTCTGTCTGTCCTCCGTCGTCACCAGAGCGTCTCCAGCACCAGCCAGCCCCCCGCTGAGGAGCTTCCAGAGGAAAGACCCCATACCAGCCGGCCTGCAGTGCAGTATCCGATCACCACTTCTCTGGCCGGCACCCGAAAGTTGAAGCAAAGGCTCCCGCAAATCTTACCTGTCCCTCCCTCTGCTCTTGCTCAACCAGTTCCTGCGCCGGCCCATTCGATGCCCGCAGGACTCCGGCACACACACACTCCGCTGACTGCACCTCCCGCTGTTTCCTTGCCGCAGGCATCCACTCCGCTACTGTTACCCTCAAGATCAACAGTCTACAAGAGGAAAAAGGCAGACCTCAGTGGCTCTGGACATCCAACCTCAGTGAAGGTTTACATCTGTGCTCTGTGTGGCCAACCAACTCAAGGCCACAAGAAATACAGAAAGAAGAGCTACTGTGAGAGCTCCAAAGCCTCCACGTCCACAAACCTTGCTGGGCAGACGTTTGACTGTTTTGAAGACTTTAAAAGGGCTGTGGACGTTCTCTTGGGCTCTCAGTCTCAGGCCTCCGAGTCTGTCTAACTGGACCTCTATCCATTTTGCGGTTCATAGTTCTTGACTTGTAACAGTGTTATTGTTGCAAAAATGGACATGTTATAATAACAGTTGGTTGTTTAATCTGTTGATTGTTGTAACACTGGTATTGATGCAAAAATGTATGTTATAATAACAGTTGATTTTTTAAAAGTTTACAGGTTTTTACGGTTTGCACTAATTTGTTGACTGTTTTTTACACTTATTGTTGCACAAATGTTCGCAATATTAACAGTTGACTGTTTCAGAGTACACATAGTTTTATACTAATTTGTAGATTGTAACTTATTGTAAATTTACAAAAGTTAAGCTTTTTTTTTTTTTACAGTTTGCACTAATTTGTTGATTGTTGTAGAAACAAATTTTATATTAACATTTGACTGTTTAAGTTTACAGTGTTTTACACTAATTTGTTGATTGTTGTAACACTGTTTTGTTCCAGAAATGTATGTTATATTAACAGTTTATTGTTTTACAGTTTACAGTATTTCTTTAATTGTTTTCTTGTTTTTATTTATTTATTTATTTATGTATGTATTTATTTATGTTTATTAAGTATATATTATCATAATGTTATTTAAAGTACTTTAATATAATTATTTTATTTAATTATTTATTTATTATAAAATTTTAGTAATAAAAATATATAATTATATTATTTAAAGTACTTTAATTATTACTTTGTTATAACAAATGTTGCTTTATATACTTTAATTGTTAGCTTTGTTTTTTTTTAAGAGGATTTATTTTTTATTTTTTATATCTAAATGCTTGACCTGGCAGTATTTTTTTATGTATACAAATATATTCTTATATCTATAACTGCTATCAGTAATATTAAATCTAATGATTGTAATAGTAATGTGTTTTTTATTATGTACAAAGTATATCTATAGTATACATTTTTATGTCAGGCAGGTCTAACAATATGTTTAGAACTTTTCTTTTGCACTTTTAATAAATTTGGATAATAAAATACAATCTCGTGTTTCTTTTTGTATGTGTTGGAAGGACTTCATTGGTTTTTAAAAATTGACTAAATCTTCTGATTTTGAATTTAATTTAGAATCATTATCTAAGTCTATGACAATAATATGCAGTCCATTTTAATAGTAACCTCTGGTACAGGCGCTCTGAAAAGTCTATTGCTCCTCTGTGTTTTTCCAAGTCCAGCTCTGGAGTCGATGACAGCTTATCCTGTTGCCGTCAGATGGGATGCCAGTGGATTCATCCTTAAACCACACTCCAACATCAAGCTCCACCTGCAACACACAAATACAAAAACAGTACATTATTCAAATATCCTATGACATTACACTCTCAAAATAGAACTGTTGTAATTTGTTACAAAGTAATTAGTTACTATAATTAAAATACTTACCCAGTAACAAAGTAAGGGATTATTATTCATTTTATGTAATTGTATTACTGCTATTAGAAATATGATGGTATTTCTGTATAATATAATAGAACAGAAGCAAAATGTTTCCATTTTTTGTTATACAAACATATTTAAGTATAATTCTACTAAACATTATGCATTTATAAAAAAGTTTGACCTTTAATTACTACTATTACATATGAATATTTTATTTATAGAACTGATATTACATATATTAATTTATATATTCCACTTGTTGAGGTTTATGGGGATTTTGAGTGAACCATTAAAAGTAATTTAATTTAAAAAGCAACTTAAACTTTAATAACAAACTTATTAAATGATCATTTCATGGTTCACTTTTATACACAGTTAGGGTTGTTAGCTTTAATTTCAAAAGCACCACACCATATGCAACGTGTCCTGACAGTTACTACTATTTGTTTTGATGACATCACCAAGGGGTTGTTCACTTGCAAAATCAGTTCATTCATGGTTTGCTGAAACTCAATCAACCAATCAGGTGCTGTAATTGCCTACACATCTAAAATGAAATTTGCACGCCGTACGGGTCGATCGCCATTCGCAGGGGTCAGCGTGGCCGGAGTGCAATGGCCAAGCCTCGCCCTGGGTGAACCACCTTCTTGATCATGGTATCTCCCCTGCCAGGTAAGTATGAGTTGCCGGGCGGCGCAAATGGCGGCCGCCGTTTTCTATCGGTCGTACTCCAGGGCGGTGATGCCCAGCCACCGAGCATGGGGAATGGGCCAGCAACCCCTGTCTCCTGACGGCGCTGTACTTGCAGCAGACGTGCCTGTGCTTGCAAACCACCAGCTAGTAACTGTGGCAACGCATGAAGGGTTTGAGCTTCCTCCAGATGCTTGCTTCGTGTTTGGTCATCAGTTGGGGCTGCCAACACATGGATTCCACTGGACGCCCTCGATCTGGGGATAACAGACCCTCTATGGGGGGAGGGGATCCTCCTGTTCTTTCTTTCTTTTCCTCCATCTGTTTTCTTTCTCTACAGATGCCGCTTTTCTCTGCTTAGTTTCTGATTTGGTCTATTTGGACATGTCGACCTCCGGCTTTGCTGCGGTTCGGACCGCCTTTGCCTAGAGCTCCGTGCTTTGCACTCTCGCCTTGTATATTTCGTGTCCTGTTTTCTTACGTCAGCCTATCAGCACAGTGCTCAAACGACATAGCTTGAAGAACACGACGGGATCTACAAACGTTCCGCAAAAGAACTTCACTGACGAAAGCGGAAGCGCTAACGGAACAACCTCCCGCTGCAGGCACCTTACATTCCCGAGACGGGAAACCACCGACGGCTGGCTGCGAAATTGCCTCTGGTTCAGATTGGTTTAGAACCGTCCCTCTGCCCAAAACGCCACAGACGTCTGCAAAAGATTGCAGTTCTTGAAACAAAGTTACCTCTGATCCGAGCAGAAGCGTTCGCTTACTTAATGGCAGATAAAATGATGACCTTTCACACGGTCTGCATTCGTTCCGCCAGTAACAGCGGCAGGCCGGCAAATAAAATCCTGACGTTCCACAGGGCACACTCGCTTGGCGGACAAAAGCCACCGGGGGCTCTCTTTGCGTGTTCCTTCACCTGGTCAAACCGCTTTGAGGGGGGACCTTTCGAGTAGTTTTCGGCGTCTGAACAGACTCTTCTAGCGACGGGTGGGCAGACCTTCCACAGGCGCGCGCAGCTCTACTGGAGCAAAAGAGGCTTGGCAAAGGACGAGGAAGAGAGGGAAGCGACGCTCCAGCCGGGTCCGGCGCTACCGCCTGAACTCTGTCTTGAACCGCTGTGCTCAGGGGAGAGCGCGAACGCAGTCCCCCACTACCAGAAATTATGCAGTCGAGATTCCCACATTTGGGGAATTCGCAGGGGTCAGCGTGGCCGGAGCGCAATGGCCAAGCCTCGCCCTGGGTGAACCACCTTCTTGATCATGGTATCTCCCCTGCCAGGTAAGTATGAGTTGCCGGGCGGCGCAAATGGCGGCCGCCGTTTTCTATCGGTCGTACTCCAGGGCGGTGATGCCCAGCCACCGAGCATGGGGAATGGGCCAGCAACCCCTGTCTCCTGACGGCGCTGTTCTTGCAGCAGACGTGCCTGTGCTTGCAAACCACCAGCTAGTAACTGTGGCAACGCATGAAGGGTTTGAGCTTCCTCCAGATGCTTGCTTCGTGTTTGGTCATCAGTTGGGGCTGCCAACACATGGATTCCACTGGACGCCCTCGATCTGGGGATAACAGACCCTCTATGGGGGGAGGGGATCCTCCTGTTCTTTCTTTCTTTTCCTCCATCTGTTTTCTTTCTCTACAGATGCCGCTTTTCTCTGCTTAGTTTCTGATTTGGTCTATTTGGACATGTCGACCTCCGGCTTTGCTGCGGTTCGGACCGCCTTTGCCTAGAGCTCCGTGCTTTGCACTCTCGCCTTGTATATTTCGTGTCCTGTTTTCTTACGTCAGCCTATCAGCACAGTGCTCAAACGACATAGCTTGAAGAACACGACGGGATCTACAAACGTTCCGCAAAAGAACTTCACTGACGAAAGCGGAAGCGCTAACGGAACAACCTCCCGCTGCAGGCACCTTACATTCCCGAGACGGGAAACCACCGACGGCTGGCTGCGAAATTGCCTCTGGTTCAGATTGGTTTAGAACCGTCCCTCTGCCCAAAACGCCACAGACGTCTGCAAAAGATTGCAGTTCTTGAAACAAAGTTACCTCTGATCCGAGCAGAAGCGTTCGCTTACTTAATGGCAGATAAAATGATGACCTTTCACACGGTCTGCATTCGTTCCGCCAGTAACAGCGGCAGGCCGGCAAATAAAATCCTGACGTTCCACAGGGCACACTCGCTTGGCGGACAAAAGCCACCGGGGGCTCTCTTTGCGTGTTCCTTCACCTGGTCAAACCGCTTTGAGGGGGGACCTTTCGAGTAGTTTTCGGCGTCTGAACAGACTCTTCTAGCGACGGGTGGGCAGGCCTTCCACAGGCGCGCGCAGCTCTACTGGAGCAAAAGAGGCTTGGCAAAGGACGAGGAAGAGAGGGAAGCGACGCTCCAGCCGGGTCCGGCGCTACCGCCTGAACTCTGTCTTGAACCGCTGTGCTCAGGGGAGAGCGCGAACGCAGTCCCCCACTACCAGAAATTATGCCGTCGAGATTCCCACATTTGGGGAATTCGCAGGGGTCAGCGTGGCCGGAGTGCAATGGCCAAGCCTCGCCCTGGGTGAACCACCTTCTTGATCATGGTATCTCCCCTGCCAGGTAAGTATGAGTTGCCGGGCGGCGCAAATGGCGGCCGCCGTTTTCTATCGGTCGTACTCCAGGGCGGTGATGCCCAGCCACCGAGCATGGGGAATGGGCCAGCAACCCCTGTCTCCTGACGGCGCTGTACTTGCAGCAGACGTGCCTGTGCTTGCAAACCACCAGCTAGTAACTGTGGCAACGCATGAAGGGTTTGAGCTTCCTCCAGATGCTTGCTTCGTGTTTGGTCATCAGTTGGGGCTGCCAACACATGGATTCCACTGGACGCCCTCGATCTGGGGATAACAGACCCTCTATGGGGGGAGGGGATCCTCCTGTTCTTTCTTTCTTTTCCTCCATCTGTTTTCTTTCTCTACAGATGCCGCTTTTCTCTGCTTAGTTTCTGATTTGGTCTATTTGGACATGTCGACCTCCGGCTTTGCTGCGGTTCGGACCGCCTTTGCCTAGAGCTCCGTGCTTTGCACTCTCGCCTTGTATATTTCGTGTCCTGTTTTCTTACGTCAGCCTATCAGCACAGTGCTCAAACGACATAGCTTGAAGAACACGACGGGATCTACAAACGTTCCGCAAAAGAACTTCACTGACGAAAGCGGAAGCGCTAACGGAACAACCTCCCGCTGCAG